ACAAATAGCCAATATTGAGAAAGAAAATAAGAACATGTAATAATTTATATACCCTACAGACATTAAACACATAACTGTAAGTATTATGAACTATATATCATTAATTTGGTATTTTAGATGAAATGGACAAGTCTTTTAAAAAAATTAACAAATCTGACACAAGAAATAGAAAATGTGAATACATTTTCTTTTATCTATTAAAAAGAGATGTTTCTACAAGAATACTGCAGGCCCAGATAACCTCTCCCAAACATATAAAGAAAAAAAAACAAAACAAAACATAAACAATTTTATACAAACACTTACAGAATATTTGTGGAATATTTGTGGATAAGTTCACAGAGGTGAACTTATCAACTCATTTACTGTGACCAGCATAATATAAATACCAAGACTTGACAAAATATATTACAAGAAATATTATGTCTTCATTATTAACATACACACAAAAATCCTTTTAAAATTATCAAATAAAATTTAGTGACATATCAAAAGAATAGATCATCAGGAGCAGTTCATTGTAGGAATTCAATGGTGATTTAAAATTCAAAAAATAAGTCCTTACAATTCATTACATTAACAGAAAAAAATATTAAAAATTCCTTATATTAATAAGAAAAAAGAGAACAGTAATATCTTTTCAACAGTGATAGAAAAATCATTTGATAAAATTCAACAGCCATTCAAAAAACAAAACATTGAGAGAAACTATATATCTAAACAGAGTGATATACCATGTTCATGGGTGGAGCACTCAATTTTATAAAATATCAGTTTTCCTGAAACTGAACTATACTATGAATGCCAATCAAAAGTCCAAGTGTGAGTGTGTGTGTGTCTGTGTGTGTGTGTGTGTATGTGTGTGTAAACTCATAAGTTGATCCTAAATTCACAAGGAAATGCAAAGGGTCAAGAATAGCCAAGAGAATATGCAAGAACAAAAACATAAATAAAATGGAGATTCACACTATCAAATATCAAGGCTTACTTTAAAGTTAGTAATTAAGATAGTGATACTGATAAAAAACCTCATGTAATAGAATAGTGAGTTTAGAAACAGACCCATATATATCTAGTCACCTGATTTATGATACACATGACACTGTAATGAGGTGGGAAAAAGATGGATGCAAGGTCAACAGATTTCCACATGAAAAAAATAAATTATGATGCTTTCTTCTCACACCATACTCAAAATTCTAGGTAGACTGAAGATCTAAATGTGAAAGGGAAAATAATAAAGCTCTTAAAGAAAACACAGAGCACCTCATGATGTCCCAATTGGTAAAGATTTTCTTAAAATGACACAGGAAATGTTAACTGTAAAAGGGAGGGTGTTAAATAAATACAGATATACAGATCAGATTTTATAAAGAACTTCTGTTCATCTAAAGGTATCATTAAGAGAGTGACAAGGCAAGCCACAAAGTAAAAGAGTAAAGTAAATGTATAAAGAATTTACATACAATATACAGATACAATTGAAAATTTGTAAAAAAAAAAAAAAAAAAGACAATCCAATAGAAAAAATTAACATATAAACATATGCTTAACTCCATTAATTATCAGAGAAATCAAAGTTAAAACCTCAACTTAACACCACTACATATCCTTATATGGCCAAAATGAAAAAGACAATAACAAGTGTTGGGGATATAGAACAGAAATTCTCATATATTGCTACTAGAAATGGAAATTGGTATAACTCCTTTAGAAAACTATTTGGCAGTTTCTCTTAAAGCCAATATATGTAAACACATTAATTCTATGCCTAGGTATATAACCAATAGAAACATTTACATACATTAATCAAAAATCATACATATGGCAGTACTACTTGCAATAGGCCAAAACTAGAAAAAAAGCAAATGTCCACCATCAGAAGTACGGTTAAATTAAAGTACACCCATAAAATGGAATACTGTACAGGAATGAGAATGACTGTTCTATAATTACATATGACAACACAGATGAATCCCACAAACAAATGGCTGAGCAAAAGAAACCAAAGATAAAAATCATATATCCTGGATTATTTCATTATATGAAGTTCAAAACGAGGCAAAATTAATAAATCCATAATGTTAGAAGTCAGGATAATATTTATCCTTGGAAGGAAGGCTGAGTAATGACTACAAAGGGGCCCAAGGGGGTACTTGAAGTACTGGTAATATTCTGTTTCTTGGTGTGGGTACTGGTTATACAACAGTGTTCACTTATGAAAATTCACCACTCTCTAAAAGATTTTTGCACTTTTCTAATATATTACACTTCAAACAAAAGACTACTTTAAAAATATAATGCCATTTTTGAAGAGCAAGTTGACACTTGATTCATTTGTTTATATGAAATAATGAGTGTATAATGACAGCTGAAAATTAGGATATTCTGAAGAAGAGCTAAGTAAAGGAACTATAAGACTACAAAATGTACTATTTTAAAACTACAGCAATTAAAGTTTACTTGTGCAATGTGGTGCTAGTACAGCATAATGGGCAAAACGATACAACAAACTAGAAAGAATAGAAAGTGACACAGTAAATATAAGAATTTTTAATTACGATACACACAGTATTTCAACATACTATTGTATATTGAAAAGTGCATTTAGTTGTGCACATAAATGAAGATATTAAATCTCTAAGTTATATAACAGAAAGAACATTGTCTAAAAGAGACAATTAAATTTTGGTCAATGCTATTAATTGAGTCATTTTACCTTCTAGACCTCAGAGATTGTCTTTAAAATGACAGGTTTGAAATAGGATGTTTACTCTGACTTATAATCAAATTAATCCAGAAATGGAAATTTTGGCCCAAAGAACAGCAATGATCAAAGTTAATTTTAAAGCTTGGGGCAGTATGCAAGATAATAAAGGTGGAAAGAGCTATCAGGTTTATTCAGGAGAAAACACAACAGCGGTGGAAAAAAGAAGAAAAGAATTGAAGAGTATCAGGATACTACAAATGAGCTTGGTTAGTGAACTGATGGGCAAGTTTCCTTGGAGACCTGGAGACACTACCTGAAGACAGATGCTACAAATAATCTGTCTTGGTAGTTAACTATAGGTTGATGAAACCCGAACACTGTATAACACACACAAAAACTGACTATGTTATATAAAAATCTAAGTACTCTTGAGCCAGTCTAATTCAGATCCATGAAACTAAAGGTCCACCTGTGCCTCTTCTCTAGAGTGTCTGGGAAAGCTATTTCAAAGTTTAAAGCTGAATTCCATTAGATTATGTCATCAATATCTTTTACTGGTACAATGTTAACAAGTATTTATTTTTAATCTTTTTTATGTTTCAAAGAAGCAGACTAAATAAAAACTATTGAAAAGTCCAATGTAGGTAGAAATGTGCAAGTTACTGTTTAGCCATATTTTGAAGCATTACCTTGCAAATGGGAGACGCATCAACTTGCACTGTTTACTGACCCGTTTCTTCTTGCTAGTGGGCAGTAGAAAGGTATTCTGATGAAACTATTTTTGAAAATAAAGAAAATAAAAAGGAACAAAATTTCTAATCTTATTAGATCACGTTTGTTATTAAAGCACTGAATTATACAAGAATACCAACAGTAATAGAACAATTCTTGCATAAGTTTTCAATAGCTGAATGAGAATAATGTCCTTAATCATGCTATCCAAAAACAATCACTACTAATATGCTGGTAGATAACTTCCCAAATTTTCTCTATGCATATGAATAAATACCAAAGGTATATATACCCAACATATATGAAGTCTCTACATATATATATATGCAATATGCTAATGTCTATATATGTACCATGTAATGTTGGATTGTATAATATATATTTTTAAGTTTTTTAAACTTCAAAGTCTGAGTGATTTTAATGTATCTTTAAAATTTTGCCTATCTATGTTTTCTAAATTTTATCACATTACCAGAACATGTTTTGTTTAATAAAGATCATGAAATTTGGCAACATACAATTATGTCTTCCTATTACAATGTAACTTAGAACAGGAGTATGGCCAAATTGACAAGTTAACTTTAAAGTCCACATGGAAATGTAAAGGACCTAGAACAGCTGAAAACAACTCTGAAAAAGAACCAAGATAGAGGGCCATGGTAATTGAGACAATAGAGCATTAGCAAAGAGACAAATAGATCAATGAAACAGAATTAGAGTCCAAAAATAGACCCACATATATTTGGTCAATTAATTTTTTACAAAGTTGCAAAAGCCAAACTGAGGATCCTGGACTGCCACTCACCAAGCCACAACAAGGCAACTCTCCTCCAACCCAAGGGTGCCCATCAGAAAAGTCTGAGGGGAGAGCTGGGACAGTGCTGTGCTAACCAGCACCTCACCCACCCCGCACTGTCATTGGAAAAGACATGGGGCAGTCTACTAGAAAGTCAGGATTTTCACTACTCTTCAATGGTAGCAACCTCCCCCTTCATCATTCCTCCAATCCAGGTGTCAGTGAAGGCCATAAAAGTCATGAGGCACCCCCCCATCTCAGCCAGCATGTCAAAAGAGGCTGAGTGGAGGACCTAAACTTTGACCCTACCCCACTAGACAGTCGGTAACACTTCCCTTTACCACAGGCATGCTGTCAGAGAAAGGCTGCTGAAACAGACAGTTTGAGTAAGATCTGGAGTCTCATAATACAAAACCTAAAATGTCCAGGTTAAATAACTCAGCATACCAATTAGGAAAATCTAAATTTGAATATAAAAAGACAATCAACAGACACCATCATCAAGAACAACACAGGTGTTGGAATTATCTAACAAAGATTTTAAAGCAACTATCATAAATATTTTTCAATAAGCAATTACAACATGCTTAAAACAAATGAAGACAAAAGCTCAGCAAAGAAACAGAAAATCTCAGCAAATAAATAGAAGATATAAGGAAGAACTAAAGGGAAATTTAGGACTGAAAAATACAATAACCAAAATAAAATTAATTAATTTTCATGAAAAATTCCATGGGCTTTACAGCAAAATGGAGAGGGAAGAGGGGGGGAAATCTATGAACTTAAAGATAGAGCAATATGAAGTATCCAATCTGAGCAAAAGAGGAGACACTAAAAAAAAAATTAACAGAAGGTCAGGAGGTTGTGGGACTACAATAAAATATGTAATATTTATGCCCTAAAAGAAGAGAAAGAAGGCAGGACCAAAAAAGTTTTGGAGAAATAATGGCAGAAAATACCCCAAAGTTGGCAAAAGCAATCAATGTGTGTATGCAAGCTGAGTGAACCCCAACAAAGATGAACTAAGCTATTCATGCCAAGGTACATCACAGTCCAATTTCTCAAAACTAAAGACAAAAATCTTGAGAGCTGTATGAGAAAAATGATACCATCCTCTGGAGTTAAGAAAGAATAAAAAATAAACGAAATAAACATCTGACTCATTAGAAAAGTGACAGTAAAATAAACCACAGAAAAGCAGAAGACTTATTACCAAAAATAAAAGCAAAAACAAGTATGAAACACTAAAATAGTAGAACTCAAAATTAAATCCCATAGATGGTTCTTTCAAAAGAGGAAAAAAAGAAAATCACAACCACCTAACCCAGGAAGGAAAAAAAAAAGAAAAACAGGGAAAAGCCCAAATACACAAAATTAGTCAACTGGGGAAATAAAAAACAGACAAAACCAATATGAAAATATGGATGAAGGAGATCATTTTCTAAGGAAATATAATTGAATAAAACTAACCACAAGAGAAAAAAATTTTCCTAAGCAAACCGAGAGGCATATAAAAAATAGCTAGCAACACAGAATGACAATTCCCACTAAAAAAGGTCCAGGTCCAGATGTTTTAACAGAAGAATTGAAACCTTTAAAGAAAATGTAATTTTAATACTATATATTTTTTCCAGAGCATAGGAAAAGGACAATATCCATATTGTTTTTATGAGTTTAGTATTTATAACATTTTTACCAATGCCTAAAGACTGTATAAAAAGAAAACTTCAAGGAAACTTCACTTATGAAAAACAATAGAAAAATTACTAAACAAAATATTGGCAAAAATAATTCAGCAGCACATTAACAGAATAATAATTTATTTCTGAAGTTTATTGCAGAATTACAAAATTAGGAAAGCTACTAATAGAAATCATCATATTAATACACCTAAAAAAGAAAAGACCCCATGACCACTACCATAGATGCTAAAAAGATATTTTACATTATTTACCATTATTTATTTAAAAAGCTCAACAACAGAAGTATAACAGGATGAATATGTACGTCACCCTTAAAAAAATTTTTTTAATAGGGAAAAACTATGCAACATTTTGTAAGTATTTACTGCATTCTAATATGTTCTAGATATCATTCTGGTAGACAAAAATCCTGCGCTCAATAAGTTTATTATAGTCTGGTGGGATGAACAATAGAATTACTAAGTAAGATTATATGCTATAAGTGTTAAGTGCTAAGGAAAAAAAAGCAGAGAAGGAGAATATCAAATGCTGGGGTAGAGATGGAGAAGGATCAGATTTTCACAGGGTTGCCAGGGAAGCTTCACTGAAGTGATTTTTGATTCAAAATTTGAAGAAAATAAAGGAACTAACCTTGTGAAGGAAGAACAGGAGAGGCCCTGAGGTGGCTGCTGGCCTGTGTTTGAGAACCAGGAGGAGGCCTGTGTGGGGAAGAGCAGGGAAGGGAGAGTGGCAGGTGAAGTAAGAGAAAGAACAAGAGTTTCAGTTTTCAGGTGAGAGTGGGCAGTGGAGGAAATGGGAGGTTCTGGGAGGGTTTCAAGCAGAGACTAACACTTTCACAGGGTCACTCTGGCCACTCTGCTGTGAAGAGAAGAGAGGCAAAAGCAGAAGCAAGACACCCACGTCGGGACGGAAGTCCAAGCTCCAGCTAAGAGAGAATGGTGGCATCGGCATGGGCGGTGAAAGTGAAGATTGTGATAAGTCATAGAATTCTGAACTGATTTTTAAGGCAGTGCTAAAGAATCTGATGTGGGGTATGAGGAAAAGACAGGAACGTGGAATCCTAATTACCTGAGAGGAAGACCCCAAAAGGAACAGATTAGGTGGCAAACATGAAATCTGAAATGGCCTCTTAGACATCCAAATGGAAATTCCCAGTAGGTAGTTAGATATGTACTGTATAAGTTCAGAGGAGATGGCCAGGCTAGAGATGCAAATTTGGGAGTCTTCAGTATTTAACAGTAATCAAAACCATGAGACTGGATAAAATCATTTAGGAAACAAGAAGAGAAAAATCCAAGAACTGAATCCTAAGGTAACCAAAATTTAGCAGTCAGGAAAATAACAAGGAACCAACAAACAAACTGAAAAAGAACAGTCAGAAAAGTAGGAGGAAACTTAGGAGAGTATAGTATTCTAAAAGGCCAAGAAACATCCAGAGGTTTTAAAAACATGCAGCTCAATTTTCAGAACAGTTTCAGTGAGAACGTGGTGAAAAGCCAACTGCTGTGGGTTTAAGAGAAAACTAGAGACAGCTGAACAAATCTCTTAAAAGTTTTGCCATAAAAGGTAAGGAGAAAAATGAGATGGTAGCTGGGGGTGGGGGTAGAGTAAGAGGTTTTATTTTTGTTTCCTTTTTTTAAAAGATGGAAGATAACATTTTTTGTATCCTCTTGGGAATAATTCAGAAGGAAGAGAAAAAATTAATAATGCAAGAGAAAAGGGTATTCTACCCTTAAGTCAAGCCAACAGCAAAAGATAACCCAGTGTCCAACAAGGAAAGCCTACTTAAACAGATTAGAAATCCATTCTGGATCTACCCTACACAGCACCAAAAAGGAATGACAAAGCATTCCCTGTAATCACATGGAGAACGCTTCAAGATATGTCACATAAAAAAAGAATAAAGCATTGAATAGTTAATATAGTATGCTATCTTTTGTTTTTGTTTTAGTATAAAGAAACAAATGAAGGCAGTTACCTGCACAAGATGTAAGAAGAAGAGGAGAAAGTAGCTGAAGGCAGTACAGAAGCACATGTGAGACTTTGTTCTACACTTTGTTCGACACATACTGTTGATATTAGAACCATGTGTCTATATTACCAATCATCCTCCCTGGCAACTAAGAAGAAAAAGAATCACTAAACTTAATATGCAAAAGTTAGTCTGTTAAACAATATTAAGTCCAAGGAAGTAGACACCAAATTTGTATGCCATCCCTTCATTCTCCAACTTGTGCATATACTTACTGTGTTCTACTTTCCTAAATCCAGATGCTGATCTTAGCCCTCTCTAAATTCTCCAAACAGAACTACACAAAAAGCATCTGGGAACAAGTTGACTTCACTAAAGATTTTGTAAAGAACCAATGGAGGCTTCTTTCATCACATAACTCACAACAAACAGTTGAGCGATGTTTTTAGGGCTATCTGTTTTCCAAAGTTCCTGGAGGTATGAGTATTATTACCCTCCCCTCTTCCACATCTCGCCAATTAGCTTCTTTTTCTTACTCTCCAAGTCCATTCAGGTACTGACTCTATACTCCCCACTGCCATTAGTTATCTGATTTTTCATCTTAGTAATTTATTCAGGACAATTCAATTCAGTCCTGCAAGCTGACCAACAAAACTGAGCCCCTTTCTGACTCCCCATACCCACCCACCCAGGGAAAAGCATCTCTTCTCCTTAGAGGGCGCTAAATGTATTAAGGCACATCTTTGCTCACTGGTTGTACTAGGTATCAGATTTGTAATGCTAGTAGCTAAACCTCCTGTGAACATTATTCCACAAGAACATTTATACAAAACTGTTCTTCATCCAAATGTGGATTAAGTTGAGCATAAAATACCGATTCTTTAGCTAGCACTTACGAAAATACTGCCAAAGGAGCTAAACATTGACCGAATAGATTGAAAAAGCTCATATCTTCTTACTACAAAGTTATTCATTTAAGTGCCTTATAAACGACTTTTAAAAGTTTTTAAAAAGAAAGACTTTCAGAAAATTTAGAAAGCACAGGAAAATACACATACAATAAAAAATACCGATAGCTAACACTTACTGCATTCTTCCTATTGCCGGGACACATGCTAGCCACATTAACTCTTTAATAACTCTCTGCAGCTGAACTAACATTACCCACATCATGCAGATAAGGACACTAAGGTTCAAATCACTCAAGACCAAAGGCACAGAACCAAAAAATAGCAGAGCTGGTATCTAAATATAGGCAATCTCATTTAAAAGCCACCCTCTGAAGCCATAAACTATCTCCAGAATCTATCAAGAAATTTATCTAAAATGGGACTTTACTAATCTTTCTTCAGTTTACATAGTAAGAATATTTTCCCTTCACAATTATATTTCTTATTTATATAACAGAGTTAATTTCACAAATATTTGGTCCTTCTCCCTTCCTGATTTTTCTAATTCTCCTCATGCTAGATTATAAGAGCTCTTTAACTAATAATGTTAATGCTTTATCTGCCATATCCAATTTTCCCAGTCTGCCATTTACCTTTATTTTTATGATTTTTAGCCTTCTAAAAAATTTTGAGAAAATTCATCAACAGCTTCCTTTATGGTTTCTATCTTTGTGTCCAGGTATAGAAAGACCTCTTCTACTTAATGTGAATTCATTTATAATTTCTTCTCATTTTATATGATTTCCTTTTTTACATTTAAATCCATATAGAATTTATTTTAGAGAATGATATAAAGTAGGATCTGTCCCTATTCTTTCCCCCAAATAGGTTTTCAAAATTGTGTCCATCTTTTTTTAATAACACAAATTCTTTCCTAATTTGAAATACTACATATTAGCATCTTTTACATTCTTTAGTCTGTTTAGGGGCCATTATGTTCCACTGAGCTGTCTAATCCTGTGTTACTTTTAATCAAAACCCAATTTCTATATAAACATTTCAATAACCAGTTATACAAAATGATAATGTCTTCTTAGCCAGTTAAATTAGTATCATCATTCCTTTGCACAAAGTTTAAGATATGAATCTCTAAACTTGATGCTACTTAACTAATCTCAATTATCCTCAGTAATGCTAAAAAATTACACTACTTAAACATAAATTCTACTTACCTCAGAAAAAGTACTCATTTCAATTGCGGTTATCAAGTTATTATTCATGAGTGCTTCTATTTCTATAAGCTTCTTATTCTGTATATGTAAAATAAAAATCCCTTTTAATCAATTAAGATTTCAAGTCTAGTATATCATGTAATTATGAATACCATCAGTTAAGACTAAGAAAATAAATGAAATTACATTGAACTAAAAAGGTGCAACACTTTATAGTTCAAGTAGCCACACACACACATACACACACATTTTTAATGCTTTTGAGCTATCCATCATAATTTTCCTACAAACATTTTTCTATTGTCAGCCAGCGACAAGGATTTAACCCTTAGGCACAGTTGTTCATTTTTCCATTTTAAATTAATTCCCATTCATGTTAGGTTTATAGTTGCAGCCTTGCTAATCACTGGCTATTACTTCCCTGTCTGTGGACAGAATTGGAAGTAGGAAGGAAAAACAACAACTAGTCTTCATTCTATTTGGCTCATAAAGAGCGAAATGCTGGGATTAAAGGGGAATACAAACATTCTGGGAACTACTCTCCTTTCAAGTCACTGGAAGAACTGTGCCCATCTTAAAATGTACTAATGCACTAAACCTTGCTTATGTTAGGCAATCAAATGTTGATCAAGGTACTATACTGGTTTGCAGAGCCACAAGTACACCTCTAGAATCTAGACTTATGATACCTTCTATTACCTATTAACAGTTTGTCCATTAACATGGCACACTCCTTCAATAATTTGTTACAACAGAGATCTGAAAAACATTTTCAGATCTTCCATAATAGCACAGTTAAGACTTCAGTTGTGATTTAGAATTCAAACATAACATGGTTTCCATACCAAATTATTTAGCTTTAGGCGAAGAAATGTGTTCTCAAAATTCAGTTTCTCCACTTCTTTTTGCAATAGCACCTTCTCAGTTGTGATTCTTCGAGAATTCTCTTTTTCTTTACTAAGAGCCTGAGCTAATGCCCTGTTATTGTGCTTTAAAGAAATTTTGAAAATAGAAGAATTGTCTGTAAAAAAATTTAAAAAAATTTTTAAGAGTTAATATTGAACTTACACTTTTGATAAAGTTTCATATTCCTTAATAAAACTATTTTAGACAAAACTGTTCCACTTTTTAAGTTTTAACTGAGGGTTGGAAAAGAAGAGAATGGCAATACAGATAATAGTTTTGGGGAAAAAAATGAACCTATAGTTTAGAGTTAAAGAAGTAAAAGCTCGATATAAGATGAAGAATAAAAGAGCTGCAGGAATGTGGAATATTTGTGAATACAGAATCAGGAAAAAGAAGACTATACTATAAACACAGCATTAGATTATTAGGTCAGCCCCAAAAATAAATACTGATACTTGTTGCCCTGCCTTCCTTCCTACCTTTGACTAGGAGGTAGAATGGAGATGATACCACAGCTCTAACTAGAGATGGCCCATAGGAATTAGAAGGGTAGCTTATCTGTAAAAATTCTAAAGCCAATTTCCCTGGCTTCAGAACTGAACAAATTAGTTAATGCTCCCAAAGTCCATTTTTCAAAATACTGAGTGAAAGAGAACATACTTACTGTAATGTTGGACAGATCATCTACCTCTACCCCAAATAACCCACCTCTAATTTCTGGGCATCTATTGCAAACTAGACTTACCTTTTCAAATGCTATGTGTAAGGTTGAAGGCACTGGGGGCAGGGGGGAGCACGTCAGACACCGATGACGTGCCAAAGTCCCCAGCTGCTGCACCCCCTCCCAACCTGAAAAATGTGCCTTAGGCTAGCCAATCCTTGCACCGCTGTAAATCTAAGCTCTGCCTCCCCCTACCTTCTTTAAAAACTCACTGCCTGCCCTGCTGAGTGTGACTTCCCCGGCCTGTGATAGCCAGACCGCGGAACATGACCTGGGAATTTGCGTTCAAATAAACTACGTAGCCCTTTGTTGCCTCTCTTCACCTGCTTATTTCAGCTAGAATTTATCTTACACTATGTAGTGTCATTTAAATCAGAAATGCTTTTCTGTTGTTAGCAAATCAATTTAATTGTGAATTCCTTGGTAAAGCTCATCTTAAATATAGTGTATTCTCCCTTGGTATACTTAAAGCGTGATTATATTTTTATAATTCTGATTTACATGCCACTATTCAATAACATAACCTATGGAATAAAAGTACAGTGTATGTAAAATATGTTTATAAAAGTAATAACATTTTTTAAATGCTCAGGGACTGTTATACTTAAGGGAGGGGCTTTTTCCCCCTTTCTGACATCTAATAGCTCCAGAATCCATGAAAACCCATCTCCAATATGCTCAGTGCCCTCATGATGAGCTTTGGTTATATAAAATCACCCACTATAGCACCCTATCTGGTCCAACCACCTGTAGATTACCCATTATCCAATTGCTACAACATGCCAAAAGAATAATCTGTCACATTTTTAGTTCTTTTCCAGAAATGTCATATAGGTATTTTCTCTGCAGTGTAGGAAGTAGTTACCTTAGGCTACCCCAGCTTTATAGCTGACAATTCAGCCTTGACTACGGAGGGTAAATTATCATAACCACTCAACTAATAGGAACTGAAGGAGCTAGGAAGGATTGATGGGAAAAAAGTATCAGTTAACAAAAATAGCCATTTTAGTCTTTTTCCATACTTGATAAAGTATCAAATACTACATCAATTCTCCACAGAAAAGTGAAAATGAGAGTACAGTTTAAAACTAATGGCACTTACTTATTATTTTTGTTTTGATTTTTGAAGCAAGTGAAACATTCAACTTAGCAGTCTTTGAAATTCGTTTGTCTTTCACATGTCTCTTATTTCCTGAGGTAAAAAGTGAGCCAGTTTCTGTCACTGGGTACTCCATCACTAAAGAAAAAGAAAGAAAGGAGGGAAGAAAGAAATCATACATTATTATCTTTAATTATTTAAATCAAACCAATCAAAATATTTAAATCAAATTGATTATATATTTAAATTAGCTATTTGAATAACTTAAATATATTACTAATAAAGGAAAAAAGAATAACTGACAAATGCATTCTAACAAGTAACAATCATGGCTTGAATGATATAATTTGTTCTCACATGAGCAGTTGCAACTCCCTTTGAATGAAATCTGATCAAAAGTAGTTTAAAGTAGAATCCAAATAAGATAAATGACTTTTTTTATTCAAACCTACATTATTCTATCTAGGTGCCAGGAGCTAGGCAGTCACTCAGGACAGAAAAAGGATATGGCTGGATAGAAACGCATAGTCATGGAATGCATAGTCTGATGTGGGCAGATACTATTATAATATAAGAGGTATAGCCTTAGAGATACGCACAGAAGAGATACATCTAATCTTAAGGAGTAGGCAGGAAATCTTAAACATGTCTATTTGTCTGTTAGATTATAGTCAATTAGACCCTGAAGTCTAATAGTGGAAACAAGATAACAAGAATAATGGATATAATACACAATGCACAGAAGTGATTAAATCTGCCTGGGCAGAGGAAAAAGATCAGAAAAGTTTTTACTGAGAAGGTACAGTTTATATTGAGCCATATACTTGGACAAGATCAACCTCCCCAAATCCCAATCTCTTCCCCAAGCCTCCTGTCCTCCACCTGCAGATATCTAGGAGAAACCTTGTCAGATGCCGAACTCCCAGTACTCAGCCTCTCCACCACTACCTGCCTTGAGTCCACAGGACTAATTGCATTCTGTTCTTTATATCGGTTACCACCAGAATGCAGACACCCAGGTCACACTCATCTCCCTCACCCTAAACCCCCTCCAGCTCTGCATATCCCTAATTTGGTCCTGTAGGAAGCTGAGAAATGGCCCCCCCCAAAGATATCAGTCCTAATCCCTGCCCCTCTAAACCTTATATGGAAAAAGGGTCTTTACAGATGTGATTAAATTGAGGATCTTGTGGTGGGGAGACTATCCTAGATTATCTTGGTAGGTCCCAAAATGCCAACATTAGTGTAGGCAGAGATTGGAGTGATGTGTCCAGAAGCCAAGGATTGCCAGCAGCCACATGAAGCTGAAGGCAAGGAATGGATTCCTCTTTAGAGTCTCCAGAGGGAAGGCAGCCCTGCAGAAACCTTAATTTTAGCTCATGATAATGTGTTTGGACTTTTGGACTCCAGAACTTCAATGAGAAAATAAATCTCTGCTGTTCTAAGCCACCCTATTTGCAGTCATTTGTTACAGCAGCCACAGGAAATGAATACTGTCTCTATATCTTGCCCAATTCGTGACGTCCTCTGAACTCACAATCAATCTTCATCATCAAAGCCTCTAGTCTCAATCTCTTCTCTGAATGTCTCCTTCCTCTCCCAGGAGAATGGGCATTCTCCTGCAGTTCTGTCAGGCAAAGGCCGCTTCTTCTCCCATAGCCCTCCTGAAGGATCTTTTACATTCATACTTGATGATCATTTGTCTTCCCCTCCCTAAAAATTCTCAGCCCTGAATTTAAGGTTATTAGATTCTATTATCTCGAACCACCCCACTACTGTCAACTGCCATCCCCTGGGTCACTCTTCTTAGTTGATAATTTCATGTCCTGGCTCACTGTTCTCTCTCTGAGAACACTGAAGCAACCTGCAGACAAGTCTCTCACAACCACCTACAATTACCTACCCATTACCTGTGCCCATGCCTGTCTTCTCTTCTGTTATTATGAGGGAACTATCCACTATCCTTCTATCTAAGGCCAAGTGTGACTCCCTTAGACAGGGACCCATGCCCTGGACCTCACCCCTTCCTGTCTCCTCAAAGGCATAACTCCAGCAATTCTCTCCTCTGTATCATCAATGTTTTCCATCTCCACTGGATCATGATCTTCAACATAGAAACAAACTGCTATTTCCTTCATCTTAAAAAGTCCCCACTTTATTCTCAGACTACCGCTCCAATTCTCTGCAGCCCTTCACAGCAAAACTCTTTGAAAGGACTGTTCACACACACAGTTCCAAAGCTCTCACACTGGAAAATCAGGCTTTCACTCTGACTGCTCCACCAAAACCTCTTTGTCAAGGTCTCCAGTGCCCTCCACACTGCTAAATCCAACAGTCTAGTCAGTTCTTTTTTAACTTGAGCTACCAGCAGCATTTGATGTGGTTAATTCCCCCTTCCTCCTCAAAAACTCTTTCCTTGGCTTCCAGAACACCAAAGTCCTGGGGTTTTCTACCCCCTCCTTTGGTGACTTCTCTGATACCTCTCTGATAGTCACGGCTAAAATATCACCTAGATACCAAGAACTCTAAAATTTATGTCCTCAGTTTGGCTCACTTTCCTTAATTTCCCTGGATTCATATGCTGTCTACTCACAATTTCACCTGGAAAACCAAAGCAGGCATATCAAACTTAATCTGCCCAAACCTGCTTCACTCAGAGCCTTCCCTGTTTCAGTTAATGACAACTCCATCCTTCCAGCTGTCCTGGCCAAAAACCTCTCTCACATCCCAATCTACCCTCACAATATATACAGAATCTGCCTGCTCCTCAGTACCTCTACCGCATCAGCCTAGACTGAGGCACCAACATGTTTCACGTGAGTTACTGCGATAGCTTCTTATTTCCCTACTTCCAATCCTGCCCTCATGAGAGTGTATTTATTAGTTTATACAATCTAAATCTCCAAGTTTCCAATGGTTCACATTCCTCTCAGAGTAAAAGTTCTTACAATGGTCTAGAAATCTCTCCACCATCTGCTCTTCTTCCCATTTCTCTAAGTTGAACTCTCCCTTCTCTCTCACCCAGCCCATTCCCTTCAGGCCATCCTGGCCACCCAGATCTGCCCCTGGTATACACCAGGCATTCTGCAGCCTCAGGGCCTTGTAGTGGTTATTCTCTGGAGAGAAAACTCTTCCTCCAGATACACAAACGGCTCATTCACTCTCCTCCACCAAGTCTGTTCAAGTGTTACCATTTTAGAGAGGCCATTCAAAAACAGTAGCTCCTTTCCTCAGCATGTCTGATTGCTCTTACCGTTTTCTATTTTTCCCATAGCATTTAAATCATTATCTAATTTACTTGTCTGTCTTCCCCAACCAGAATTTAAATTCCATAAGGTCATGGATTTTTGTCTGTTTTAGTCAATGATATATTCCCCAGCTCATAGAACACTGCCTGGAAAATAATATGAACACAGCAGGTATTTGTTAAATGGATAAGTCTTGAAAATGGAAACTTTATCAGGTATCAAGATTAGAAAGGATATTACAGGAAGAATGGCATGTGTAAATGCATGAGAAAATGGAACATTTGAGAAAATACAAGTGATCTCTTCATGCTGGAATGTTACTACCCTATTTCTGTTTCCCTTTACAGCAAAACTCCTTTAAAGAGTTGATAATAGTTGCTATACCCAATTCATCCTCTCTCATTCTCTCTTGAGTCAAGTTTTTGTTCTCACCACTATTGTGTGGAGATGATTTAAAGTCACTAAATTGCCATGTTGCTAAATCAAATATGGTAGTCAAAGCCCAGTTTTCATTGCACTTGATCGACAAGCAGTATTCTCTTCTCTAAATATTTTCTTCAGCTGGCTTCCAAACACTGCATCTAGGGTTTTCTCCTGCCTCACTGACCACTTCTGTCTCCTTCGCTAGTTATTCTTCAGCTCTCCCTTACAGTTGGAGTGCTCCAGATCTCAGGCCTTGGGTCTCAGCTATTTTCTATCTGCGATACTAATCATCTAATGTCCTGGCCTCACATTTAAATGCTGATGACCTGAAAATGTATATCCCCAATCAACTCCAAACTGATTCATCCAACTGCTTACTCCTTACCTCACGCTGGATGTCTAATATACATTTCAAAGTTAACATGCCCTAAACTGCCCCTACCCAAACCCAATCCACGTGTTCTCTCCATCTCACTTCACAGCAACTCCATCCTTCTGCTTGTTCAGGTCAGAAACCTCTTTCTCACATCCCACATCCCCTCTATCATCAGCCATGCTGGCCCAACTTACACAACATATCCACATGGACCATTCACCATGATTTCTTCTGCTACCTCTCTGATGCGAGCTGCCATTCTATCTGATGTACATTATTGTTTAAAGTTACTCAAATGGTGTTCCGTTTTTGCCTTCTCCCCAACCCAGTAACCAAAACAAACCCTTTAAAATTTCCAAAAACTCGTGTCACTCCTGTTAAAACCCCCCTGTGAGTGGCTTTCCATGTCACTGCAGCAGTGGCCTTACGGTGGCCTCAGGTACCACACAGTAGGATACTTTTCCCCTCCCTCAATCCCCTGTCGGCGCCTCCCTGGCGTCTTGACCACTCTTCCTTCTGCTCACTGAGCGCCAGCCACACTGGCCACCTCAGCATGCTGCCCCTGCAGAACTCTTGTATTTCTTTAGTCTTTTCTATCACCGCTTCCTTCAAATAACCACAGCGCTTGTTTGCTTCCTTCTTTACTCAGATGTCACTTTGTTAGTGAGCCTTCCCAGACCAAACTATTTCAAATTGGATACCTGACCCCACTTCATTTACTGTTAAATATTTCTCCATTGCCTTGTCAGGGTCTAACATAACAATTTTCTGATTTAAGTTACTATCTGTCTTGAGGGCATGGTTTTTGCCAAGTCTCTTGGCTGTGGTACCCGTGGTGCCTACAATAGCCCCTGGCAAAAGAGCTACTGGATAAATATTTGTTGAGAAATGACTATGGGTAAATGAAAGAAATCTCAAATAATTAAAAATGTCCAGTTTTGGAATAAGTCTCCTTTGAAAGTGTTGAGCAGATGTTGGGAGATGTCAAGCAAATAAGGGGAAGATAGTTTCAGGAGAAATTTCTGTAATTGGAAGAAGTTGAACTAGGAACCTTCCAACACTAAACTTCAATGCGTCTTCTAAAATTTTGCCAAAAAGAAACTTTAAAATCAAAGATCACCATCTGTTCCACAGATAGAATACAGGCACACACAGAAACATCTCACACCCCTGAAAGGGATCCTAACATAGAAATCTAGTCCATCTCCCAGAAAATCCAGTCAGGAATATCAAATCTCACTTTACTAATTAGGAATCTATGGCTGAACTGCCCTCCCCAATAAACTGGTTCTTAGTTCCCTTACTTAATAAATAGCACTATCACTCACTCACCCACATGTTCATGCCAGGTATCAGAGTCTTTCTTAACACTGCTCTGTCACCTTCCACATTCAGCACCTCCCTGAGGAACACTTTAGGGACGAAAGCCAGGCCCCTGGATTACCATTCCAGGGTGACTTACCCTATTATAAAGACTGGACTGAGGCATTATATATAAATAGTGGCTGGGACTGTGCTGGAGTTCCCTTCTAACATTCATAGTTATGTGATCTTAACATCTCTAAATCGCAATTCCAGGCTTATAAAATTATAGAAAGTTAGGGGCATCTCATTGTAGAGACTCGATGAGTTAATGTGCATACACTGCCTAATACAGGACCTGGCACATAGCACTCACTAATACTACATATTATTATTAATCTGTAGCTCTTGTCTGGCCAGCATCTTGGCTATTTCTAAATCAGAAATACTCAGTTCCACATCGAATTCTCCTGAACTGGATTCCTCATCTAGAAAAACCTTCGTTCCTATTCCCTACCGAAATCCTACTTGGACATCAAGACCCAATTCAAGTTTTAAATTCTTCCCAGTCTTCCATCACCCTTTCGCCTTCAGTCAGCTCCCTTCCAAAGCGGCGCTCCAGAAGCGAGAGCTCCTTCAGGAACCTGGGTGAGCGGTTGTAACGTTCATTTAGTACCGAACGCTCAGTAAGAGTCCGAGCGCTCACAGCGAGCACGGTTCTAAAAAGCAGGGAGCAGAGCAGTCACAAAGACAGAACTCCCTTTCTTCAAGGAGATGACCTTCTAACTGGCGGCTCGCCCAGCCAGGAGCCCAAATCCCCAGGACAAAAGACAGCAACTCAGATCCAAACCAGGGAATGGCCCAACGGCCCCTGCAGAGCGGGTGCAGGAGCCGCGGTCCAAGAGACCCGAGAGCGGAGCGCAGACGGAACAGCGGGCCACGGAAGGCTCTGTGCACAGGAGACTCGGCAGCGCAGCGCCGGGAGGTTCGGCTCTGGAAGGGCATGGATCTTAACAGGGAGGGGGCGGCCAAGCCGAAGATCACTGACTTACCGCTTTTCCAGCGTGGGAGCTCCCCGCGCCGGGAGCTCAGCGTCTGCAGCGGCGGCTGGTGTTTAAACTCCGCAGCCGTTAGCAGTTGCCGCATCAGCCAATCAGGTCCCGAGAAGGCGGTGCAAAGGAACGCGGTAATCAGGAAGTGGAAGGAAGGAGGGACTTGCACCTACGGGAGGGGGCGTGTCCCGAAGAGCCGTGGGCAACCCAGCCTGAGTGAAAACGGCACCCTGAGGCCTTGAGCAGGCTCTCCTTCCATCGATGAGTGGATGAGAAAGGAAATGCTCTTTCGGTAAAACAACCTGTATTAATCAGCGGTTTAAAAGCCTTGATAGTCATCTTTGCAGTATGATGAGAGCACCCTTATTTAGTTTTAGTTTTCACTTACGCTCTCCCCATTTTTCTTTTAATTGAGGGAAAATCAGCAATGGAATTTCATTGAAAATCCTGGATTTCAGTATTTCAGGTAATATACTAATGGTTTAAATGTGCAAAAATGGCATTTTCCGTTATGCACAACTACATAAAAATATACATTATTCACTTTATGTTCTAAGTCAATTAGCTTAGTTTCCTTTCACAAGTGACTTTGATAATCTAATCATACATTTGGAAAAACCATACCTAGAATAAAATTTCCTCTTTGTATGCCGTTAGACTGAAAGTGAAATAGCTTGTTAAATTTAGGTTACAATAATTGATTATACTGTAATGCAGTCAGTTCATATTTCGGTCAATTTTTTATTCATTTGGGGACATCTGAGTATCAGAACTTTCCATTTTATTTTAGAGAATCTAGACAAATGATGTAATATGTTATTTTGAGTTAGATCTTTTTGTTGAATATATTTCAAGATAGGTCTCCAAAGAGATATGGCTGCATGAGTTTTGTGTAAGTAAAAGAGTATTGATTGAGCAGGTACTAAAGTTACAGCATACAGTTCAGTAAGAACTTCAATAACAGTGGTTTAGAATATAATATACTGGTTATGGAAATTTCCAGTTATCTAGGGGTTAATGAGCACTGTATCTTGTTTACCCAGTGTGATGGTATTGTCTTTTCCTACATATATATATAACAATAACAATATTATACATAGCAGTAATAGTAGTTTAACTCCATTTGTGTTCTCAGACCCAATTCCAATGTGTGTAAGTATGTGGGGGTAGGGGTTCTTCCCACATATAACACCAAACAATTCTTGCATATCAGCAGTGTGTTGGAGAACTCAACTCAATTCTGATGCTATCTGTCTAGAGACAGCACCACCTTCCCCCAGTGAAGGGATCCTTCCTAGAAGACTGCCCTCCACTCCCCAACTCCAGGCAGCAATCGCAAGCCCCAAGCAGTTAACCTATGCTACCATCTACAGACTGGAGGTTCCCATGACCTCCCCCTTGGGTTCGATTAATTTGCTAGAGCAGCTCACAGAACTCAGGAAGACACATTTACCAGTTTAATAAATAATATCTTAAAGGGAACAAGTTAATAGCCAGATGACAAGGTACGCAGGGTAAGTTCCCAAACAAAGGAGCTTCTATCCTCGCTTAGGGCCTGGCTCAGTGACTCACGGAGGCTTTCTGGTTCCCCAAGCACATAATGCAAGATTCAAGAGAGCAGAGTAAGAGCGGTAAACTCTTCTCAGGGTTTTTTGTAAGGGCTTCATTGCAGTGTCTTGATTGACTAAATTATTGGCCATTGGCTGATTCAACCTCCAGCCCCCACCCTTGGGTGGGGTCTAAAAGTCTCTCATTAACATAACAAAACATTCCTTTCTCCTTTAAGACTGCACTGTTTTCAGGAATTGCGGATGAAGACCAAATATACCTGGGAAATGTGTATTTGGCCATATATATGTATTTCTTACAACTCATTATATCACACCCAGCCTGACATACTAAGGACTCAATAAAAGTTATATGTTCTTTTAAACGAACCATGTCATGGCTCTGCCATTTAGTGGTTATTTAATCTTGGTCAAGTTAATCTCTGAGCTTCCATTTCCTCATTTGAAAATGGAGAATATTAACAATATCTAATACATTTTTATGATCATTCCAATCAACAGACAATATTAAGACAATACAATACAATATTGTATTTTGTTTAAATACATTCATATTACTTTCTTCTTGACTAATTTTTTACCTACAACTTCAAAACCAAAAAAAAAAAAATATAGAAAAGGGAGAACAGAGGTAGTAGAGATGTTAAAAAATTTATCAAGACATGAATACCAGCACCTCTTTTTTTTTAAGTGCTGATTATTTTGTCTGAGAGCAATTGAGAGAATTTAATGAACCAACTGCTTTGTAAATTGTAAAAAGCTATTGAAAATATACATTCTTATCATACACAACCATAAGCTTAAAAGGTATAATTAATTGGGCTGAATTTAACCTGGTCTCAGTTTGCTTTTAGGTAATTTGCCTTTTGGTAGAATAGATAGAGGCAGGAGCCCTGGATGAGGTGTGTGAAGATGTAATTAGTTGTATCTTGAACACACATTAACTGTGTTTTTTGTTACAAGCTTCTTATTTATAAAATAAACCAGTTAAATTAAATGAGCTCACAGTTCTGTTATGATACTCTCCTGCATAAGGCACTGATTTTGTTCCTCTCTATTTTCCTTTATTCTTACACTCATTAGTTGCCCTATTTTCTCTACATGGAATCATGACTGGAAATATTCTTGACTGCAATCTAAGAGTAGATTCCAGTCAATTAGAATTGATTGCCCTGACCCACACTCCCACACCAAAAAAGTAGAAGAAAGGAGAAGGAGAAGATACAAGCTCACTGCCAAATAACAGCATCAGCAAAATCCCACTTGAACATATCAGCATTACTAAAACAAAAATCATCCAAGAAAAACAATCCCTGAACTGGAGCCAAGTAGAAGACATACTACAAATCAATAAACCAATAAAACAAAATAGAAATAGTGGACTTACATTTTATTAAACTATCTGATCTGATAATCTGTATCAGTCTGGCAGGTTGAATTGCACAAAGGAAACCTAACCCAGGCTGACAGAGGCAGAAAAGGACACAGAGTGGTTTCAAGTATTTCTGGAGAAGATAGAGATGTGGGCTTGAAGACAGGCAAGAACAAGGGGGTCTGGGCAGCAAAGCTCCAGCCACAGTCATGCTACCAGCATAGCCTCTGAGGATGCTGCCGATCTTGTACAGTCAGCAGTGGATCTACATGCTTTCACTGGGACTGTCACTGCTGCTGATGCTGGAAAAAGTGGGCATGACTGTGCTGCAGTTCCCCCATCCCTGCTGCTTGGCCTCACTAGCTCCTGTTGCTATGCCTAGGTGGAGCATGTCTGAAAGACTGGTTCATAGGCTTCAAACCCTAGCTGCAAGGGAGTCTTGCACATTTAGCCTATAGATAGCTTTTTTAGCTTTTTAGTGAAAGGCCTTCTCTGCCTCCCACCCAGACTCAAGAAGGGCTTTTGAGCTGGACAGCCAAAGAAAAACAAAGGTTCATTTCAGTATTTTCTGTGACTTTACTGCAATAATCATTTCTATTGTCTTTAACAAAAAGACTTCTTGCTGTGGCAGGTGAAGGACAGGTAATAATTATAACAGCAGTAGATAAAATTTTCCCAGGGTTTACCTTGCCCTAGGTACTATGGCAAGCCTTTCACATACCTTTTTAATTCTTGCAATGAACCTATATGGTAGGTACTATTATTTCCTTTTCACAGTTGAGAAAACTGAGGCACAGAAAATTTAAGTAACTTCTGCAAAATGTAGTAAGTGGAACAGCTGGGATTTGAATCCTCATAGTCTGGCCTACACCACTGTGAGACAGTGAAAGAAATAATTTGTCATCTGTCACTTCAATTTCAAGATATATTATCAATACCTCATGTGAACTTCCCCATGGTGTCTGCTTGCCAGCCTCCTCTTTCTCTTTAATATATGTTTTTGGGGAGTCCCTTTTGCCCATGGCATTAGGCTAGAGGTGGAGATGAATGAGACAAATCCTCTTTCCTTAAGGGAGAAGGCAGGCAAGCAAACAGTCCATTCCCATACATTGTGATAAGTAGATACTTGAGATTATTCAAAACTATTTCTTTGGTTTAGGCAAGGGTAAGGAATACGTAATAGGGGCACCATGCATTCTTATCTCTGACCTACTGTATGTATGTGTGGAAGAGAGGCTTCTCTGGGGAGGAATAAAATAGTCAGCATCCTAGTCTATCATTGCCTAGAAAAACCTAGTAGTTCTCATTGCAGCTCATTTACCTACTCTACACTGGTCCACATGCCAGACTATATTGAGAGACCCACTTAGGATCTACTTACTAACTTCTACCCAGTGCCTCCACAGGGTATTCTAGAAAGGTTCAAGTATTTCTTTACTCAAGATTTCCTGTGATAAAATTCAAACCATACATACTGGGGGTAGACAAGGGCTCGAACAGTCAGCTGTTGTGCTCACTAGCTCTACTAACACACTTACATTAACAAGCCTCTTCCAACAGCCCAGGGCCCTGAAGCCCAATCTCTAGAGTTCTCTCTATATGGACATTTGCCTATCTGCCAGAGACGGTCCAGGAGATCTCTGTCCACTCCCTTCTTCATCCTATACCCCTTTCCCTCCTACTACTCACGACAAGCGCAAAGGGGTAACTTTTGTGGAAAATAATGAATTCTGCTGTTTGAAGTCTCTTTGGGATATAGAGGTAGAGATGTCCAGCAGGCACACAGATATAAAACATGGAGCTCAAAAGAGATGTTTGGTTTTGGGAGTCAGCAGTGAGCGGTAATAGGAACTGCTAGAGTCAATTAAGTTATGGAAGGAGAATGTGTACAAACATAGGGAAGGTAAAAGGTAGAACTCCAGTGAATATCAACTTGCAGAGGAAAGATGCAAGGGCAGCTAGAAAGGCAGTGAGATGTAGGAGGAGACACAGGCCCCATGATGGCACGGTAGTTGCTCATTTCACAGAGGGGACAGCCAACCTGGCCTTAGGGCAGCCAGAGGATATGAAGGAGAACAGCCCTGGGGGTAACATTTAGGAAGTCATTGCTCTCACAGCAGGGAGGTTGCAGAGATAAGAGCACACAGTTCTTTGA